ATAAGAGTATGGGTCATTTTGAGTTAAGGTATTGAAAGAATAAAACATGTGAGCATTACCTTAGGCATATCTTATACACTTAACTATTTTCTTAACAGACAGTACTATCAATGTTTTTCCTCACATTTTCAATTGGGCAAGCTACAATGTAGTTGAGAATTGTCTTGATGAATACTTCACATTCAAAAGGAACATATAAGTTTTTTAAAAATTTATTTATTTATATAAAGGGAACAGATTTCATGTATTTAACATATACAGTTTTAAGAACATATTGATTACTTCCCATCCTAGTCTTCTTCCCTCTCTTCCTCACTCTTACCCTACCTCCTCTTTCCTTTCTTAATTTTCTTTGAATATTTGCAATTATATATTTTCATATATTTTTTTAAAAAGATTTATTTATTTATTTGAAGGCGAGAGTTACAGAGAGGCAGAGGCAGAGAGAGAGAAAGAGAGGTCTTCCATCCACTGATTCACTTCCCAGATGGTTGCAATGGCCAGAGCTGCGCCAATTCAAAGCCAGGAGCCAGGAGCTTCTTCTGAGTCTCCCACATGGGTGTAGGGGCCCAAGTACTTGGGCCATCTTCTACTGCTTTCGCAGGCCATAGCAGAGAGTTGGATCAAAAGTGGAGCAGCCTGGACTCCAGCCAGCACCTATATGGTGCACTGCAGGAGGTGGTTTTACCCAGTAGGCCACAGTACTGGCCCACATTTATCTCTTTTAACTATTTTTGTGTTAAAGCCTATTTTTTCTGATACTAGGATGCCCATACCTGTCCTTTTATGCTCTCCATTAACATGGAATATTTTTTCCATCCTTTCACTTTCAGTCTGCATGTATCTTTGTTGGTGAGATGTGTTTCTTTTAGGTGGCAAATAGTGGCTCTTGCTTTTTAATCCATTCAGCCAGCCTGTGTCTTTTAATGAAAGAGTTTAGACCATTTATTTTCAAGGTGACTATTGATAAGTAATGACTTGGCCATGCAATTTTTTCCATACATATTCCTATTGCTTACTTTGGATTTCCTCTGTACTTTTTCTTGGAGATTTTCTGCCTTCACATTCTTTCATAATGACAATCTTTCTGTGTTTCTGTTTGTAGCACATCCTTAAGCATCTTTTTTTTTCTTTAAGATTTATTTATTTGAAAGTCAGAGTTATACAGAGAGGGAAAGGCAGAGAGAGAGAGAGAGAGAGAAGCCTTCCATTCACTAGTTCACTCCCCAACTGGCTGCAATGGTTGGAGCTGTGCTGACCCGAAGCCAAGAGCTAGGAGTTTCCTCTGGGTCTCCTACATGGGTGCAGGGGCCCAAGCACTTAGGCCATTTTCCACTGCTTTTCCAGGCCACAGCAGAGAGCTGGATTGGAAGTGGAGCAGCTGGAACCCGAATCGGTGCCCATACGAGATGCTGGTACTGCAGGCAGCAGCTTTACCTGCTACACCACAGCACCGGCCCCCTTAAGCATCTTTTGTAAGGCTGGATGAGTGGTGACAGATTCTTTCAATTTCTGTTTGTTATGGAAGGCCTTTATTTCACCTTCATTCATAAATGTGAGCTTTACAGGATACAGTAATCTGAGTTGACATTTTTTTTTTTTCTCTGAAGACTCGGTATGTCTGCATTCTCTCCTAGCCTATAGAGTTTCTGATGAGAAGTCAGCTGTGAGTCTAATTGGAGATCCTCTGAAAATAACCTGTCATTTTTCTCATGCACATTTTAAAATCTTTTCTTAATGTTATACTGCTGAAAGTTTGATTACAATTTGTTGTGTTGAAGATCTTTTCTGGTCAAGTCTATTAGGAGTTCTATGAGCTTCCTGTACTTGGACATCCCTTTCTTTCTCCACATTGGGGAAGTTTTCTGGAATTATTTCACTAAATAGGTCTTCTAGTTCATTCTCTCCATACTTTCAGAAACTCCTAAGACCCCCTATGTTGAGTCATTTGAAAGTATACCATAAATCTCCAACATTATTTTAAATTTTTCTAATTTCTTCTTCTTCTTCTTTTTTTTTTTTTTTTTTTTTTTTTTTTGTTCTGACTGAAAAATTTCTGAAGACTTGTCTTCTGGCTCAGGTATTATTTTTTCTGTCTCACCAACTCTGTTGTTAAGGCTTCCCACCACAGTTTTTATTTGTCTATTGAAGACTTCATTTCTAATATTTCATTTTGATTTCTCTTTAAAATCTCAATTTCACAGGAAAAATTTTCATTCATATAACATATGGATTTCTTTATTTTGTGGATTTGCTTCTGATTGCTTTTGAGCAATCCTGTAATTAATCTTTTGAATTCCATTTCAGGGTTTCATCAATCTCTACATCTGTGCATTCTACTATTGAAGTTTTTTTGTTCCTTTGCGGGGATCATGTTGTCTTCCTTTTTCTTGTTTCTTGAATTTCTCTGTTTATTTTTAGGCATTTGTGGAGATACTTCTTGGTTTTTTTCCTCTGATTGCTTTTATTTTTGAACTGTGCCTCCATGGCTCAGTGTAATGTCTGTACTTTCAGTGATTACCAAGAGGTGTGTGCTGCATGTGACCAGGGAGTTCTGGTCAGTGGTCCAGGGTGGAGCACGTATCCAGGGTAACCCCCAAGTTGGGCATGGCAAATCTCTTTTTTTTTGTTTTTTTTGACAGGCAGATTTAGACAGAGAGAGAGACAGAAAGGTCTTCCTTTCCCTTTGGTTCACCCCTCCAAATGTCTGCTACAACTGGTGCACTGCGCCGATCTGAAGCCAGGAGCCAGGTGCTTCCTCCTGGTCTCCCATGCAGGTGCAGGGCCCAAGCACTTGGGCCATCCTCCACTGCCTTCCCAGGCCACAGCAGAGAGCTGGACTGGAAGAGGAGCAACCGGGACTAGAACCCAGGGTGCCGGCGCCACAGGCAGGGGATTAGCCAAGTGATCCACAGCGCCAGCCAGTAAATCTCTTTTTAACAGATGGGAAGGAATAGTCACCTCTATTGGTGTGATCACACCCTCACCTCCTCTTCTCCAAGTTGATCAATGACTGAGTTTTAGCCCCCTCTGAGTGCAAAACTCATCTGTACCAACTTATGAACCACACAAATGATCTGCACAGTCCTCACTCTGATCGTGGATCCTGATGCGGTGACAATAAGGAATTCCCAACATGTGGAGTCACACACAGCAATGTGTCTGGCTGGTATCTGTATATGGATCACCATCATTTTTTTTTCTTTTTTTTTTAACTTTTATTTAATGAATATAAATTTCCAAAGTACGACTTATGGATTACAATGGCTTCCCCCCCATACCGTCCCTCCCACCCACAACCCTCCCCTTTCCCACTCCCTCTCCCCTAGAATTCACATCAAGAGTCATTTTGAATTATATTAATATACAGAAGATCAGCTTAGTATGCATTAAGTAAAGATTTCAACAGTTTGCACCCCCATAGAAACACAAAGTGAAATATCATTTTTTTTTAAGATTTATTTATTTGAGAGGCAGAATTAGAGAGAGAGAGAGAGGGAGAGACAGAAAGATGTTCCATCTACTGGTTCACTCTCCCAATGGCTACAAGAGCCAGAGCTGGACTGAACTGAAGCCAGGAGCTGGGAGCATCCTCCAGGTCTCCCATGTGGGTGCAGGCACCCAAGCATTTGCCATTTGGGGAATGAACCAGTAGCTGGAAGACCTTTCTCTCTGTCTTTCCCTCTTTCTGTCTATAACTCTGCCTCTCATGTATATAACTAAAAGTATGGGACAGGATCCTTGTTTTGTTGGCAATAGAAAGAAATGGGACCAAATACAAGAATCAGTGTATGGTACTTGTATTTTGGAAATGTTGGTTCCCAGGGGGACAATGTAGCCCTAGAAAAGTTGGAAATCAACGACTGAGTCATTCATGTCACTCTTTATACTATGAATGAGACAAAGAAGGAATCCGTAGCAAAATAGGGGGACAGTGGACAACAGGATGTCAAGAATGAAGGAATGTTCCACTGAGTTAATGCTTCTCTGAAGTATAGTATAAATGACAGTGGGAAACTGAGTTTGCAGTATGGTAGTCACCGTGACCCACCCAAGAGCAGTCGTGATGTCATCATGCATGTGGATAGTAGTGTATTTGGTGTGGGTTGAAAAGATACAAGAAAAAGTGGAGACAGCCACATCAAGGAGTTTGAGGAGAGGAAATGCAGAAATTGAAGCTGGAAGACAATTAGAAATTAAAATGTTAGAAGTTAAAATTATAGGCTTTAAAAAAAAGAGTTTCTAAAATATGTTTGTTAGATAATGGGAATAACCAAGTACGGAAGAGTAGGGAGAGAAATTGAAGAGGCTTCCTCAAGAGGGTTAGAATGTACAATAAACTCCCAGAAGGGGTGGCTTTCAAACAAGTAACACAGTTATTGGTAAGCACAGGAATGACTGCAAATACAAAGACTGTTTCGCTATTCAGAAATACTTTTGTTCAAATGTTGAGAAACTAAAGTAGGACAATTGGAGCCACATGACTCTGCTGCTTTGGACCATATTTGGCCTGCTAAAATACCTCTTTTTTTATGGCCCAACCTATTTTACTATAATTGTATCTGTAGTAATACATAAATATAAAATACCTCAGAATATACAAATTGAAACAGACAGCTTATGAGTGTTTTCAGTCTTCTCTTTGTTCCTAAATTTTATGGAATTTTTTTTCATGATTTTATGTCAAATACAAGTGTAAGGAAAATATTATTAAATGCTTCTTATATTGAATATTGCTTCTTTCCGTTTGATTTTTAGGTTAAGTTTTACTAATTGTTAGAACAGGCAAAGAAAATCAGATTCATGTATTATTCTAGTTCTATCTGAGTCTTTGTGTTCTACTGGATATAAATGAGAGCTGCATACTACAAGATTCCTTAAGATCCTTGTTTCTTAATGACATACATGTAAAAGATTTAAAATTAAAAAGAACAATGTATTTTATAAGATTTGTCTTTAAAATATGTGTGTTAGGTAAAATATTTGTATTTTTGTGACAGGCTTATTTATATTTATCTTCCACTGTGCAATGAAGGAGAATGTTCAGAAACAGTGGAGACGACATCTCTGCTGTGGCAGATTTCGGTTGGCAGACAACTCAGGTAAAGGGGCATGTTGTTAATTAGATTTTACATTTGAAGTAGCTGTCCTTCACACTTCCATTGTCAGAAACCCCTGTCCCAGTGGTAGCAAGGGATAAAAGTTGTACATGTGAAAATGCTTACTTGGAATCTTAAAATAATAGAGCTGGAAGAGATGTGGACTTTGGTAAAAGGCGAAAGATTTATAGGATCTGAAAAGAAACCAGAGTTTAAGAGATGTGGACTTTGGACCCAAACCACCTATTCTTCAGAAGAGAGGTGTGAATTCCAAACAGGTTCAATTATTTGCTCAAGACTTCATGTCAAATTCAGCAATTCAAATAGCAATATCCACCCTTACATATTATTTAAAATCTGGAGTTGCTTTATTAGGCAAAGAGATATTTCTCAATATAAAAATAACCAAAGAAAAGTTTTACTTACTTAATTACTTTGTATTTAAAGGAACAGACTTCATGTATTTCATATATACAGTTTTAAGAATATGATACTTCTCACCCTCTATCCCTCCTCCTTCCTTTCTTTTCTTTTAATTTTTGTGATATCATACTTTATAATAACAAGCTTAATCCTCATATAAAGAATAAAGGATTCAACAAGTATTAAGTAGAAAGATCACTGCTTCTCAGGAGTATGGACAAGGGCTATAAGTACTAATCAAATCCCAGATGATGGTTTCACTTAGACACATTATATTTTTATTCTATTTATTAGTTACCATAAATCAGAGAAAACATGATATTTGTCTTTTGAGACTGGCTTATTTCAGTAAACAGTCTCCACCTATTTCAACTGTGCTGTAAAAACAGGATTTCTTTCTTTTATATGGTTGAGTAGTATTCCATTGTGTGTGTGTGTGTATGTGTGACATTTTCTTTATCCAGTCATCATGTGGTGGTCATCTGGGTTGATTCCATATCTTAGCTATTGTGAATTGAGCTGCCATAATTAATTTTTTATCATCAGTGATTACTTCTTACCCTTAGGATATTGAAGTGGGATTTTAAATATTACATGCACAGGATTGATGTAAGAAACCTATCTGTTTCTTCAGTTTATTATTGATTAGGGCCAATCTCTAAGCTACTGCCAGCATATCAGAAAATGGGATGCTCCAGATAAATTCTGATGATTTTTCAGGGCAGAGCATGTGTCTCATAAAGAAAATTGATAGAGTGATGTTATTTCTTTCAGATTGGAGTAAAACAGCTACCAATATCATCAAGAAAAGTTCTGATAATCTAGGAAAATCTTTATCTTCAAGCTCCATTGGTTCCAACTCAACGTATCTTACATCCAAATCTAAATCCAGCTCTACCACCTATTTCAAAAGGAATAGCCACTCCGGTGAGTCATTGTGGCTGTGATAAAGATGGAAGCAGCACTGTCTAGTATTTAATTCCTTAACCACTGGAAGTGTTAAGACTTAATTCCTTAATGGAAGTGTCACTGATGATGCTGTTTAAATTACTGATTAAGTATGAAATAGTGGAAAGTGTAGAAAGTGATATAAAGCTGTACCCTTTAAACCTTGTCTATTCATGATATTCACAATGATCCACTTGTTCTGACACTGAGCATTATGGGTATATGAGCAATTCTGACAACATAGAAAATAAAGAATATTTTGCAGTACTTGATCGTCTGTGAGTGGTGTGAAAAGGTGTAATAGTTTAATAGTTGTAAAGGGAAATAAAATGATTACTTTTCAACACTAACTAAACCCCTGGCAATCAACTCTTGACACTCAGCACATAGTACGTTCCTAATTAAAATTGCTTCTAAAAGGATAACAAAAGTAACTTTTTACTGTTTAATTTGTTTAGCCTTTAAACATGAGTAAAAGAATGGCTTTTTGCAAATAAGAGTGTCAGGTATATGATGTGTCTATAATTATTGATGTTGCAATCATTTGAATTACAAACAGCCCTTATGTACATTTACAAGCACGTATGTCTCTCTTTTCATCACCTTCTACACCTTGCCACTGGTGTGGTCACTGCCTGGGATTTGTGGTGGTATTGTGGGAAAAAATTTTGTGTTAGAGAGTTTGTTAATTCCAAAATTACTTTATGATTGAAGTAAGAACTCAGAGCAGCTTAGTACAGCAGTTCTTAAAAATTTCATGGAATCAAGGATTTTCTTGGGGAATGGAATGTCAGGTGTGGATTGTCTTCCAGAATAAGGTGCATATTTTGCATCATATATATATATATATATATATTGTATCATATAAATCATGTATATATGCAATATATGTATGTACCTTTGCCTAAATTTAAGAGATCTATTCACATCTGCTTGAGGATATTTTTATAAGGAAACTGATAACAGGTTTATGTTTAGAGATAGATTATTCTGTCTGGTTGCCTTTCTTTTGCTTATAATGAATGATTTTTTTCACTTTGTTTAACTAAATGTAGATGCTAACTTTGTATATCTTCTAAAATTCAAATAATTCATTGTCAATAAGTTATGAATGATTAGGAATTAGATCAATTGAATCATTTTGCTTTTAACACAGGTGAGATTTGCTAGCCTGGAGAAAAGAAGGGGAGAGGAGCAATATTGTAGATAATTTGGAGCACAAGACATTCTGGATGTGTTAAGGAAAGAAAGAGCTGTAGGATGCTGAGGAAAACTGACTAGGACATAAAAGAAGAAATTCAGAAATAGAGGAACTAAAGACAGTTTTCTATTTCAAAATTCTGTATAGTTTTTTTTTTTTAATTTGCTTTTCAAAAAATTCATTCTTGAGGTGATATGGGTTCTTGCAAATTAGCTTGAGGACATAGTTTCCTATATGACATTGCTGCTGTGGTGTAATAAATTCTGGTTTCCAATAAACTGACTTCAAATAGCCTTTGACTACCTAACCAGTTTTTTAGTGGGACAGCTTTTATGTGGGGAATCACTCAGGGTATGCAAAAAGTCACTGCATATCATCATGGATATCTGGTTGGTTTATTTCTTGGAATTGATCTAGACATTCATATGTTTATGGTGTAGATAATGTCTCCTAAGAGCATTCCTTCAGCAAAAGTGGATCATTCAGGTAAACTTTCATTACTTTTTTGAATGCATGACATTTTTGCAAGGTAATAAGAGAATATTTGCATGGATTAAGCTAAGAGTCTTGCTGCACCAGCAGAATGGCTTGTTCTGTACAGTACTTTTCAGCTAGCATGATGACATTCCTGCACAGAGCTGGAATTTCTGATGTTTCAAATGATGGTTGGCTGTGCCGGCTCTTCTCTGCATGGGGTGTCTGCAAGCCGCGCCTTCTAGGAAATGTACCATGCTCGGGAGTGAGTGGTCACATATCATGTAATGATAAAAATGAGGATGAAAAGCAGTGCTTCAGAGTTTTTTTTTAAAATAGAAGGACATGAGATTTGTTACTTTTCCACTGCTCTTTTGGATTACTGGACATATCATGGTACATTCATAGAAGTCATAAAAAAGAAATTATCAATTCCAAGCCTGCTTTGTGAGGATTTTTATGTGCTTAAAATTTCAGCATAGGTGAGATATTTCCTTTCCCTAGCCCCTGGTTTTCAAACTTGCAACTGTAATGAAAATCTATATTAAGTATAATTTAATATGTAACCAGGAGATGAAGAATATAATTTATAACATCATAAAATATATGTTTATATTTTATATATAAATAAATACAGCCTTTGTTCAGAATTTTATTTATCAGACTGTGAAGCCCCATCATATTGGATGGTATCTTTGAAATGGAGCTGTTCAGCATCTCTAAAAGTATATGCTCCTTGAAGTGGTCAAGGAAGCAGAATGCATATATCGTTGACATTTTCCCTAATATGTGTGGTACTCTAAAAACATCAAGCACAAATTAGTCAAAAAATCCCCAATGGAAAACCAATGGCTAGTGAATATGTGAACTTAAGAAAGCATAAAATGAATCAGCTTGCTAAGAGCCAAATGGGGACAGGGCCTTGTATTATGGCTCTGTGGCCTTGTTCTCATCAGCACTGGGACATGCTTCAGTCATTCTCCCATGCTTCAGTCTACTCATTCGCTCCATGATCCATCTTTTCTTCTCTCTGGCTTCCTCTACAGTGGAATGAGAGTGCCATTTCCTATTTCAGTCTTCATTTTATTTAGTGGCTTCACCAAAACAGTGGTGGAGTGATTTGAATACTTTCCCAAGACAACAGATATCATGATGATGACTAATACCAATTATTGATGGGCTTAAGTGTTGTATCACATACAGGGTCCAACTTATTTAAAACATAAAAAACCTACAGTGTGCATTCCAGTTGTGGAGCCATGATTCCTCAAAGCAGTTTTTTGAGGGGAATAGAGGTTTGCCTCTTCCATGGAATGTAGAGTAAATATGTCTTTAGGAAGCTAAATGTCTCATAGAAAGTCACATTTCTCCTTTATCAATGTAAAAGCTCTCTAATTTGGTTAATTTGAGGGTAGAATTTCTCTCCAAAGTGTTTTTGGAAGAGGAAGGAAGGCAGATACATAGAAAGTATCAATTAGATTCATGAAAACGATCATATATATTTATAGATAATAGCACAAGGAGAGTTTCAGAGCACCATCAGAGGCAATTTTAGGAAGCTTTTGGGTCTAGAGTAATAGTAGTCAAATATTAATTACTTAAAAATTCAGGGAAGAATTTTACTTAGCAGCCCTTTATTACTATCAGTTGCTCTGAAACCATAGCCTTGTCAATAAAAGCAGATAGATTGCTATTAAAGTATTTCTGATAAAAAGAAATTTGTCTTCTATAATTAAAATAGTAATTCATAAAAGATGCCCTTTTTGCTAGATTCCAACCATTTCACAGGCTAAAAATTGATTTTAAAAAATTCATTCAGAGTATATTTTTATTTATTTTCACTTACTTTTGTTCATCAAAATCCTTTCAGTGTATAATATTTTCATTGTGAGAAGAATGAAAAATATGTAAGAAGTAATTTATCACCAGCTATGCACTCCTACCCAATTGCCCTTCCCTGTATCATTTGGTAAACATTTAAATACCAAATCATTTCTTCCATAAATATTTCAGCATATTTTAATTCATTTATAACATAATCTGTTATGTCTTTTGAGCCAGTTGGTGCCTGTACTTTTGAAGTGGTTTTTCAGACTTTTTTATTCATTGGCTCTTTGAAAAATGCCACTTAAAATTTTTCTTAAAACAAACAAACCACATCACAAATTACTAAAAGACAAATTGTCATTCTGTGAATATTAAAAATGTACTTTGAAGATGAAAAACTTGACATTTTAGTGTTGCCTATTACCTAATCTGAGAAAGAATTAGAGCTTCCTTTCCTTTGCTTACTTCTTTAATATGCAAAGTAGAGTGTACAGTGTGGTGGCCCTTCGGAATGTCACCATCCAATCTGGTAAGCTAATTTTTTGTATCATTTCTTGCAGACAATGCCTCCATGGACAAGTCTTTGTCAAAACTGACCCATGCTGATGGAGAACCAACATCAATCATCCCTGTCCATCAAGTCATTGATAAGGTCAAGGGTTATTGCAATTCTCATTCAGATAACTTCTATAAAAATATTATCATGTCAGATACCTTCAGCCACAGCACAAAGTTTTAATGTCTCTAATATAGAAAAAGAATGCAGTCTACAGAAACATGAAAATCTGCAAGCAGTGAGAACTACAAGTAGCAGATATAAATGTGCTATTACCTAGGTAACTGCATATATATAAAAATGTATTTTGTTTAGAAGACTTTTGTGAAATTTAGAATTTATCTTTTCAGTATATTTCTTCCATAGAGGAGCTTCCATCATCAGTAAAACTTCAGTACTGAAAGCAGTATGACTCAGTAGCCTTTTGAGGTACAGTATTTTAAGTACAGAATTGTATCAGACTAATCATAATTCAGAGGAGACACTGAATTTGGAGGATAGAGGAGAAGCAGAGCTAAGGACAAACTCTAGTTTAGAACTTATTTGTACCCTACTTCATAGATATGTCTGGATGTGGCCTTTTCCTGTATCATCTTTCTCAACAGTGAAAAACAAATATTTGCAACTATTTGGATGCCCACAAGTCCATCCTAGTGCTTTTTTTTCCATGAATATAGTAGTATTTTCTCTTTTGCAATGAAATTTAAACATAGGTAGAAAAAATATTTAATGTTTGATCCAAAGATTTAAAAGGATTTTTTCATATTATATCAAATGTTTTAACTTCATAACTATTAACATGCTTTGGAAAAAAATGTTTTTCCAAAATCAAGATTTTGAACAATATGAAGCTATGAAAATTTCTAATATTTCCCTTATCATATTCAAGACACAAGGCTCCAGTATCATTATTTGTTATCATTTAATCCCATAGATTGAATCTCTTATAGTATTGATAGTCCATTAATATAGGGCTCCAAAGAGTAATTTAAGAATTAATCTGCTGTACCTATCCTTTTCCTCCTGTGCTGTATACTGAGCCCACGGGATTAAGGGAGTAAGGAGAATTTCCATTCAACATCTCTGCACAAGAAACAGCCTTTCCCTCCCAGGAGATACACTGTTGAGTCTCCATGGTCCTGTCCTTTCTCCAAAGACTTTAAGACATTTCCAGTTGCACAAATGAAAGTTTCTAACTTCTCCTACTGAAATTTTGTTCCAGGGAATATAGCCTGAGACACATGGGTGACTCATAAGAATTGAAATAATTTATAAACATATGGGTCTACAATTGCTGGCCAAAAAAATATTTGTACTGAGCCCTCCAATTATAATATATAAGAGCCTGAGAAGGTTTGGCAAGATAGATTTATGGGTCAGTCTGCTGCCTAAAAATCAGGAATGATATGAAGCAGCTAATCCAATTTACAAACTATCCTGAGTACTGCATGCTTGCTAGTGAATATGTAGGAGACCACATTTTAATTGCTCTTAGAGTTGTATGTGGTTCCTTAGAAATTTGGCCTCAGTGCCTGCCGTTTCTTACATTTGCTCTGGGTTATCTGGGAGATGGCAGGGCTTGGGAAGTGGCAGCATAAAAGATGAGCAAAGGAGGCATTGACAGAACCAGACTGCTTAAAGGTAGAGATCAGAGATGAACTAAGCACCCGGAGTCCTTGCAGAAAGCAGGTAGTTCCCAGTAGAAGACACAGGCTGTGCAGCAACTGTGGGAACCTCTCACCTTTTCTGATCTTCAGTCATGAAGCTGTCATTCAGGCTCAGACAGATGATGAGATAATGTGGTGGTGGATTTTCTGCTATTCCGTTTTTCAGGAGCCTGGAGCACCATCAGGGAGACGAACACTGCCAAGCTCTCTTTCACAGGGAAGGGTATTTAGGAGAAAAGGATAGTAAATGTTAACATTATCAAGATTCACTACAATACAGCTGTTCCATAGGCTGGTTATTAATAGGCTGCTTACTGTAGCAGAGGTTACATATGGATGAAAATTAATCAAATACTGAATATTCATATAGTGCCTCCCCCAAACCTTAGATATTCATTGTCTACTTAGCTTTCTACTGTGAGATTTCTGCCCAACTTGCTTATTTAGTTAATAGTAAAAGATGGCTTCAAAAACAGCCTTGCTTTTGGTTTCTACTCATATTCATCCACAATAGGAAAACATTTTCTTTTTCATTTGACAGCAATATCAGCTGCACTTTAGAAATTTTGGATAACCAGATGAGGAAAAATGGAGGAATGACTGAACTGAACTATTTGACTGGATTTAAAATTCTAAGGCAAATTCTATTCTCAGTTGTAAACATGCAGTTCTCACCTGTATATAATACCTTCAAAGGAGAGGGGTAGGAATTTAGCTGCGGAGCCAAAATTTAGTTTAGCTGACCTTTAAGAACAATATCAGCTCAGACTCTGTTTCTTCCCCATATTTTTAAACTCTGTTGTGTTAGCATCTGACGCTAGGATCCTGAGATAGTTTCCATTCATGTCACCATTGTTGCATTGTATAGATTTTCTTTATTGTTGGCATAGACTCTTTTGTATATATTTATTTATTTGTGTTTATAAATGTCAATTTGTTTTATATCTTAGCTTTATATTGCCTAGCTTTGTTGCTTCAATTAACTTTCTATCAGAGAGATTGTATATATTTTCCTAAAAAATTGTGAAATAGTTTTCTGTATCACTATCTTTGAATATGATGGGTAACAGTGATTGTGAGTGAAAATTCCAAATAGTAGTAAGAAGCTACTCTAGCTGATTTGCCAGTTTACTTAAATGGAAAATGTTTTTCAAATAAATACTTATGGTATTCGTGTTCTGAATTATTCAATTCCTTTATGAGTGAATGTTTTTATTTCTGACTCTCAACTAGGAAAAGATTATTTGATGGCTGGAAAATAATCTGCCGCCAATTAAGCTAGGGACATGGGACTGCTTCGCCAAAGTACTCAGAATGAATATATGACAAAGATCCAGTTCGCTGGGGATTCATGCATTTTGAAGTTCTTAGAATTTCTCAAGATGACTGATGCAAAGCCAACCTCTGTGGCAGATTAAAAGTCAAGCAGGTTTCTTTGGGAGGAAGTTTTCAGTATCCCAGAAGGGGAACTGAGTCACTAACATGCAGAAGTTAGAATCTGGAATATTTTTCTCACATTTATAGTTTCTATTTTAATTGTGGAAAACTTAGAAAATGATAAATTTTAACTAATGTCACTTGCTTGATCAGAAAAGAACCTCCCTACTTCCTTTTTCTCTGGTTACTTAGGGTAACTCTTTCCTGCAGACAGCCAAGACCCATTTTGGCTCACAGCCCTCCGCAGCAGAGTCTATGCCCAGTGCTAAGTCGTGAGGCGCTTTGGCAGGTCACTGCCAAACCAGGTCTCCTGAGCCAGGGTTTGCAATTCCTGGCCAAGCCATGCAAAGAAAATAGACAAGCAGTTGCTGAAGGCCCCTCAATAGTCACATATGAGCAGGCTACTTCAGGAAGCATGGGCAGTAGGTGAGAAACACTCATTTGATTTGCAAGCTGCCCTGTGGTTTATAGTATTTTTGAAATCTAAAGAATTGGGCTTTATAAATTCAGGATTTTGGAAGCACTTCTGTTTTCAGTTGAATAACATTCCACTTCTCTCATGTAAAAAGCATTAAAGATCTCCCTCTCTCTCAGCTCCTTCGTTTTCCTACTTCATCCCACTCTCCTTCTCTTGCTCTGCTTGATTCTTCTCACCCTCCCTCTTCATTTCAAGGGAGAATAGTTAGGGTGACAGTTTTATTTCTCTGTTTTCTCAGAGAAAAATAAAATAAAAGTAAAATTTTCAAATGTTTGCATTTATAATTCAAAGCCAGTCCAAAAAAGAAATAATAAAATTTTGAAAAATGACATGCTTGGTGACCACAGGCAGCTCCAACCTAAACTGAGTAATTTGAACCCATAGCAAAAAAAAAAAAAAAAAAAACACCATAAAATTCATAGACATGTTTGGGTTCCAGATGCTTATTTTTTATCTCATATAAGTTTCACCACAATTCTAAGAGGAAGTGTATTATTTGTCTCCCATTTGGGGAAATTGATGATTAAAGATCATGAATGACCACCGAGAAAGTGAGCAGGACTCTAATCTCAGTCCATTTGATGCTGAATTCCTTCCTGTACAACAGCTTGCCTAGTTTCCACCTTCAAGTAACCTACAGACTGCGAAAGAAGGTAATCCAAGGACAGCATAAATGCCTGGAGGTTCAGACAGAAGCTTCCAGAGCTTCAGAAAAAAGCTCTGGAGTAGCAAAACATTAATGATGACTGTGTCTTTTAAGTTCTGATAGATTCTGATTGGCCTCTCCTGGGGGTATGGAAAGTGATTCCAGGCACAGAGATTGGAAAGTCAGGGCAGTGAGTGGAAAATAGTTGAGGTTGACTTGATTACAGGGTATGGGAAAGGGGTTGCAGAGGGATGACAAGACTGAAACCAGGCCAACATGTGAAGGGCTGCAGCATCTGACTGGAGAAGCCTCACCTTCTTAGCAGTCATAAGGGAGCATAAAGGCTTCTGGGCAGTGAGAGATCCCAGTCCTAGCTGGGCTGTAGAAAGGTGATTGTGGAAGAGGAACTGGACTGGGAAAGAACAAACACTGAGGAGTACTTTGGACAAGTCAGGACAGCAAGCACCCTTAGGGCTGTGTCTGAGGATCATCACTATATCTGAGAAGTGGTGATACTGTCACAAGGCTTTCTAAGCAGCCTTCCCAGGTTTTTATAGGAGCCAACTCAGCTCTTCAGTATAGCCCTGAGTGCCCTCGTCATTCCCGGGTGCCATGACCTGGGTAGGAGCTAGGAAAGAAAGTCAGCCTGTGCACAATGCTGAAGCTGGCTGTGTCAAGAAATGTGCAGATGGGAAGAAGAGGGAGGGGTTAGTTTAAAGGAGAGTAAGTGTGAAGGAAAGGTGTTTTAGGAAGGTTCCTCTGTTTTATGGATGGAATACAACATCTGAAGACAAGATGAAGGGTACTAGAAGGGAGTGAGTGGGTCTTCTAGCAAGTCCTGCAGGTGAGGGTGAGGATGGATGAGAAGCACAGGGAGAGGGCTAAGCCATGGCCATAGAAGAGGCCTCACTTCCTGGTAAGTAAACAGGCTGTTGGAGGAGACAAAGAGGAACGGAGAGACTGATGTTGGGAAAGCTCATTGAGATCCCCAGATCGATGTCATTTCACCTGCTGGGTACTGTAAAGGAAGTGACATCAAAATTGGGTCCTGCATTAAAATTATGATTTGAAACAACCTTACAGAGAATACGAATCCTTGGCTTAATTAGATTATGTAAACTAATAATATTTGTCCTAGAGTAGCTTTTACCAATATAGTCCCCAGTCATCTCACTGACATTTTTATTTACTGTATTTTGAAAAAACTAATTTATTTAAAGATCATAACCAAACACCAAGTACTCTAGAATCTTACAACTTCTTGGCCAAACATGTATTTTAGACACTTTCATGTAAATGGATGATTTATAATTTCAAGTACATTCCAAAATCTTTTGAATCTTTTAAATTATGTGTTCTGTTTGGCTTGGCTTATTATCATTCTGAATGAATTTAAATGATTCCTACAAATTCAGTATCAGATTAAGATACTTGATATTCTCATGAATACATTTTAAAGTAGATATCTGTAGTATCTGGTTCATTCCATGTGAGAAAACACCACAACAAAATTAAGAGTTTAAGGACTCTAGGAGCAAAAGCTAGAACACTATTTCTCTGCTCATTGTCCTAAGGCTCAACCCAACAAGTGAACTGAGTAATCCTATCTCCCTTCCGAGAGTAGCAAAATAAAACAGAGGGCCTTCCTACAAGGAGTTTACTGGCCAGTTGAGTTGATTGATTGGACACATTTGAAACTATTTAAACACAAAGCATAATTGGTTTGTGGGTAAAGATCTGACAGGTAGCCATCACTGCCAAAAAGAGTTAATGTATTATCTCCCATACAACTTAGCAGTAATAAATATTAAATAAGTTCCTGCAATTGCTAAATTGCTTAAATTTAACACACACTATTGTGTTGTGTTTTAATTTCATGCGCATGTGACTTTTCTACTGAATGCTGTTAATTTGAGGCCCTTTGTACTGCATTATGTCTGAAATAGCATTTTCATAATCTCATACTGCTTAGCAACCTAACAGGTGCTTGGTTCGTGCTTACTGAAGTTGGCAGTTTGGTGAACTTCCATTTTTTATTTTAGAAAAATACTTTGGATTTTGATGGGGTTGCAAAAACAGACTAGAAATACAAAGCAAAGCAAACTATATTAGCATGATCTTTTCAAGAATATTTGTCCCAAGTTTGTATCACTTTACATGAAGCAATCAAGTTGGATAAGAACAAAATGAATCAGTTTAATACTAACTATAAATCATTGTTAATGGTAGTAGAAAAGGAACCAGGTTCGCGTCTGAAATAAGAAAAACCCCCTCCCGAGCAATTGATTTCAGAACTGTTTAGGGCTCAAGCTCGCTTCAGTATTAGAAAATTGAATGCAAGAGCATGGAAGGTCCTCATGAAGATAAGCAGCCAGGTTAAGGTGTGCAGCCAAATCTGAGGGACTCTGAGTACAACAGGTAATGACCTTGGTCATCAAGCAGCTATTTTCTTTTGGTCGCTCTGATGCATTTTAATTTTGTAGAGCAGTTTTGGGTCACAGCAAAATTGAGATAAAAAAAAAAACACAAATTTCCCATATCCACAGCCCCTACACATGCATAGACCCTCCCTTTTTCAACATCCCTCACCAGAGTTTCTATTTGCTAAAATGTATGAACCTACATTGACACATCATAGTTTAAATTGGAGTTTACTCTTGGTGCTGAACGTTCTGTAGGTTTGAGTTATTGTAGTAATACTGTTACAGTATTACACAGAGTATTTCTGCTGCCCCTCCAAACAATCCTGGGAGCTCACCTATTCATCCATCTCACCGCCCCCAATCCTGGGTAGCCACTCAACTTTCTACTATCTTGATAGTTTCACCTTTTTCAGTTTCATATGGTTGGAATCATACAATATGTAGCCTTTTCAGATTGGCTTCTTTCACTCAGTGTGATTCATTTAAGTTCTCTCTTTCTGTCTTTCCATGGCTTGATAACTACTATGGTTTGAATGTGTTCCCAAAAGTTCATGTTGTGTTCATGTGGAAGAGTGTTAGGAGGTGAGTCCTATTAGGAGGTGATTAGTTCATGAGGGCTCTGCCCTCATGAATGCACTGACGTCACCATTATGGGAATGGGTTAGTTCTCATGAGAGTGGGCTTGTTAGGAGCAAGTACAGCCCCACCTTGCTCTCTAGCACACACTCACCCTTTGCCTTCCACTATTGGATGATAGAACAGAAAGGCCCTCACCAGGTAGATGCCAGTGACTTGATAATGGATTCACCAATCTCCAGAACTGAGAAATAAATTTACTTTCTCTATGAATGACCCAATCTGTGGTATTCTGTTGTAGTAACACAAAAATGAAATAAAACCATAATACATTTCTTTTTAGTGCTGAATAACATTCTGGTGTCTGGAGGTACCATGGTTTAGCTTTCTACTCGTCTACTGAAGAATATGTTGAATCCTTCCAAGTTTGACAAGTAGGAATAAAGCTGCTATTGCAAACATCACATGCAAGTTTTTGGGTGTACATAAGTTTTCACTTCTTTTGGGAAATACCAAGGGATGTGATTGCTGGGACCTATGGTAAGAGTAAGGTGAGCTTTCTTAAGAAGCTGCCACACTGTCTTCCAGTGCTGTAGTTTTCATCTTTGTCCATTCTCATTATC